AAGTATATAAACAAAGTGAATTTGCTTTAAAGTGAGTCTTGTGTCAACAAAAAAGTGTTCCCTTTTTTTTTAATTTCTATTAAACTCTAAATGATAAAAGATATGGCTTTCATTTAAAAATGATTTCGCATAAATGATTGCATTTGGATTTCTGTAGAAATTCAATCCTGAAACATAAACTTTTACAATTTTTTTGGATAAATCTGCTTCTATTTCACCAATACTACGATTAATCTTGACGAATAATGTCATTGAGAGTTTGTGTTTTATTAGAATATGTTCCAAATGTTCCAGCATAATCTTCGATCGTTGAACTTTTCCCACAATAAAATGATTTTGTCCTGAAACACATATGGTGTGTTCTACCATTTTGATGAAGACACATATCGTCGAAGGTTAAATCATGTAATCATGTTGTCACAAAAATCATTTACACATGCTTCTGTAGCGTTCTCTATCGAAGGTAACTGCAATGCCATTTTCATCGTGTTCAAAACTGACTAATTCAGCCCACAATTCACGCCCACAAGTTAGTTTTGTGCACGTATAAGTCTTTTAGAAATATCAGATGGGTTTTTTTTTGTACACCAAAGGGGAAAAAATCCTTATGTACAAAACCATTTAACCAAATATGAGCTTCATCTCACTTGCACGAAAAGTAATCATGGATTTATTGTTTTTGTAATAAGTTTTACGCTATACAACTATGTACATATTGTATTACACAAGTAACTTCAAGGTCCGTCCGAACCATATATTGAATATCAGAAGTACAAAATGGATTAGTTCATATCCCATCTATGATAAGCTTATGATAGTTGAGTAATTATAGACTATTGACTGACTGAAAATCTATTTTCGCACAAGCTTTCTGGTATATAAATTTGAAAAGTATTCCTTTGCGAAATTTATTGAAATAAAAAAAACTAAAAACCCGAAAATTATTAATCAATCAATGGGTTGATTATATATTAGGTAGACCAGAAAATTATTAAGCAATCAATCGATTGATCATGATTTCAAAACTTGCTATATTTTTTGTAGGCGTTATGCTATGCAAAAACGGTTCTACATAATTTCGCTAATTTTAAAGTTATTTTGCGAAATATTTACTAATATTTTCAGATTTTTTTGGTCGTTTTAAGTAATTTTCATCTATTTTTATAATATAACGTCGCTCAATAGACTGACAAACAAGTCATTTCCAGAAACGCCATTTGACAAAAAAAACCCCAAAAATGAAGCTACAAGCTGTTTATTGTATATAATGTCATGAGAGACGCAAATATTTTCGAAGTGTATTCCGGGCAAGGAGACATAAAAAATCATTGGCCTTGGTATACTATTTGTCGAAAGAAAGTATCTATTGCGTCAAAACCGTACAACAGAATAGATTGCTTAATTGTAAAGCATTTCTTACCATGATGATGTTGACTTTGGAAAGACTACAATTTTGTAGTCTACTTATGCTGATTTGCAACACGTAGAGCATATCTGGCGATATGACAAAAATAGTGTAACAGAAAAATATGCCCGGGGGAGGAGTGGATTTGATAGATTCGCTAACGTGCAACACACCTTTGCAAAGGATATCTCAAACAAACAATTATCAAATCTCAGCCAGTACCCGCATTTATTTGGCTGATGCTTTTTGCACCGTAGGATCTCGTATGAACAGGAATAAAAAAGGTTGGCCTAGTGATGACGCATTAGAGTAAAGTTTACAGACGAAAAAATCTAAAGAGGTATGCCATCTTTTGTAATCTATGGATGTACGAAAAGACGATGTTGGTCACTGGTCTATATTTTTAAACGAATTGGGGTGTAAAATTCCATTATATAAGGGTACCACACAGTGGCCATGTAGCAAATGCAATATTCCTTTATGATTAAACGTTAAAAATATTTGTTTCATCGATTTGATATTCTGTAATGTTATGAGAAGTATTATTTAAGTAGTGATTGTTCATAATGATGTAGAAATACTTCAATATGTTTTTTTTTGAAAATTAAAGAGAAATTTTTATCTGGTTTTTCCCATTAACTACACCCATTTTTCAGTTGATTTCTAGATTACTTTAGTCTTCTAGATAGATATTCGGCCGATCAAAAGCATGTGTGCTTGAGATAGTTTTCTAACACAAAATTTAAGAGCACGCTATTTCGAAAAAGGACAATTGCCTATCCGGTACTTACGTATTAACGCCGCCGCGGCAAAAATTCCATTAAAAAAGCAATAAAAAGCAACCTTTCAAACTATTAAGTTTTTTTGGCTTCTAAATATAATAATAATAATAATATATTAATAATTTTTATTTTAATAACAATATTTTTGTCGCGGTGGCGTTAATACGTAAATACCGCTTATCCTAACTAAAACCACTTTATATTATTGTATTCAAAGTCAATTCCGCAGCAAAGGTCATAAATTCATACACTTTTGTTATTTGTCGGCCTATTTTTGTATTTTTTCAGAAATATCAACGTGAGGACTTATTACGATTATTACTATATATTTTCGCTTTCACTTATTGCACATATTTGACGCATCTATCTGTGAGTAAGGGAATAGCGATGGGCGACAATTGCCAATATTTTTCTTCAGAATTGTGCACGGACTCAATGTTTACTTTCCTGAAGTTGAAATCTTTTACATATTTTTAGCAATTATTTGCTTTCTTTGAAACACAAATCTCACATTTCCGATACGCATCGCATAAATGACTTATCTAAAAGTTCGAGGTAAGAATCATTTCCAACAGCCAGCTGACCATTGCTCACCATTGAGAAGAAAAAGCAGTTGAAGTGTGGTGGATATAACAAAAAAAAAAAAAAAAAAAAAAAAAAGAATTATATCCATGTTATTTTGGCGTAATTGCGTTCTTGTTTCTTTCTTTTTTTTATCTCTTTTATCATACAAATAAAGAAATGTATTTTACTACCGGGATCTTTCTGGCTTGTTTAATTACATTCTAACGCTTACCGTATATGTGCCCAAACCAATAGATTGCATTTTAGTGCCGTCATTATGCGTTACATATGAAACTGGGTTAGACATTTCCACCAAAAAGCTATCAATAATAAATATACAATATAATCACTAAATAACTCTTTATTTTTATAAATTACTTTAAAGTACTTAAAAACGTGTGTAGATTACTGCTCGTTGACTTTACATTTGTAAGTTTTTGTATATATTTTTTGTTTTGCTTTTGCACTTATTGATCGCGAAAGAGAGAGCTTTCGAAAATAAGGCAAAAGAGGCAGCTTTTATAGACTTAACAAAGAAGATTATAATCGGCATATGTCACTTTATACGAAGTTTTGCAACCTTGAATGTTAACTAGTCTATGTTATGTATTTTCTTTGAAGTACGTATATATTATTTGCACAGCTATTCTGTTTTCCCGTATCTCTTTTTCGCGAGTGAGAAACAACTGCACAAATTATACTCATGTAAAGACAGCCTACATTTTAAACGGATTGTATCCTTTGTTGGTCTACCGCGAGGTAAAGTAAAATTAAAAATTTTAGGAAACACACATATATAAAGCAAAGTAAACGTTTAATTACTATCACAAAACCAAAACAAAAGTCCCTCTTCACGGTAATGCACGGCGACATTACAAAAACTGAAAAAATGCAACGTGCAAATCGAGTAACAAAAATTTTCAGAGACATTATGCAGCTATAGATTTTCGCTATATTTTCGCGAAAGCTGTATAGAAAAAACCAATTTCATTTCTTTGTCCAAGATTTATCACCGCCAAAATCGCCACAAATATGACCTGTCCATATACATAAGAAACTAAAGTAATTATAAGAAAATTTTAACAAATTTGAGCAATTGCAGTAGCAATGCAATTAGGTTTTTCTTATAGCTTTCAGCGTCCTTGACATCAAAAATCTACAGTTGCGTAAACTCGTTAAAATTTCTTATAACAATCTTTGTATATTATAATTTTTCGTCACTTGCATACATACACTATACGGTAAATACTAACAACAAATTTCTTTTAATTTTTATAACATTTTCATAGGACGCTTAAATGTAATTTGACCACTTGAAAACGACATCTATTGGAAAAAATTGGTACAGTGCATAATAATATTTTCTATCATTTGCTAGAACCTTTTCCCAACTTTCTAACAAACTGGCGATAACATATCGTAAGAATGATATTGGTCTGACAGCAATGCAATCATCAATCCATTTTCTTAGTATCTCGAAACCACCTGCCACCCAAGCCATGGTACATCGATTCGAACAAGTGCTAATCACAAGCCGCTGTCTGGTGATTACGCTGAGTGGGGCAGAACTTTGCATCCAATGATGCTGAACCCTACAACAAGTTGATTGCACCGCATCAATTTTTCATTCAATCTTCATAGACCGCCTTACCTCGAAAAGTTGTTACTTGAGTAATAGCACTTCGGCATTGTAGACGCAAAAAATTTGGATTATGGACTTGCCCCCATTCTTATCATTCTTGCGAAAAACAAGGTTTTTTATATGGTAGGAGGTTATAACTTTGAACAATTCATGGTAAAAATTTGTCCATAATCATAATTTTATGCTTTGTTAAAAAAAAGCAAGTTGACTGAAGTTTTATAAATAATAACATTTTACACTTCTTAGAATACATTCAACCACGCTTCAGGCGTTTAAACGAAAACGACTTAAAAGACATTCCAGAAGCAGCCCATTTGAATGACATAACATTAGACTTGATTGAATAATTGCTCAAATTCGAAGTATACACTAAAGGTAAACATGCACGAAATCAATTTGAAAAGTCTGAATAACATTACTCTAGATAATTTGATACTGCCGTGTGTAGTTGGGACTCGTTATTTTCTGATCTTTGTGGACAATTATACCAAAAGTTCTGCACAAATACAAAGAACATAAAGGTCACGCCGAAAGAAACACTGAGCAAAGCTTATAGACATTGCGATTAGGCAACGGCATCGAATATGCCGACAATGATTTTTAAAGTTATCAAAAGACTGAAGGCATTAAGTAATGGTCCATCGTTGCCGAACCAAACCTTTATTGCGGCTTAGGGATACTACCAAGCTTTTGGAGTGAAGGTGCCTCTATTGCTAATTATATCACAAACAGTCAAAAGTCAGTTTAAACAGCCTAAATAGAGAAATTGGACAACAAATATGAAAATTTTCAAACAAAACGAGGTGAGGGTAACGACCTTGTTAAATAAAAAGAAGGATATGATTCATGTCCGAAAACAAATACAGATGAGAGTGGAAGTAAAACCAGCAAATTTCAACGAAGTCATAACAAAGGGAATTGTGAAACATAGATAGACACTACAAGAAGCAACAGTGACTTTAAAAACTAAGAAAAAGATTAAATATGTCACGGTTAATGTTGCACTAAATGATGATTCTAAGACAGCCAGTAAAACTTCCATCAGTCTTGAATTACATGAGTGGAAAAAGGCAACAGAAAATGAATAGAAAAACGTGAAGACAAAATGCCTCAAGGCAAAGGGATTTTAAAAACAAATTACAAACAATATGCTATGTTTGAATGTCGCAACGTTCGATTAGCCGCAAACGATTTCAAGCAGTAGTCTGCCATCGAATACAACCAATCATGTGCAGTTGTAGTTCGCAAGAGTTCCATGTAAATACTGTCAGCATTATCCGAAATTGAAATTAACCGTACATCAATTAGACTTTATTCGGGCTTATTACTAAAAATTGCTTGCGGTTGGTTACGTCTGTGTTATGGAATATTTTCATATTAAAAGAATGTTCGGTGAGTATCGCTACCCAGACCTCGTCAAACTTGTATAAGAGCAAATTAGAGGGTAGCATGCGGCGCTTCGCCTTCATCTTTCCATAAATCTCTCTAAAGGTTGTTCGCCGACATTCGTTATCATCAACGATGGAACTTGTGGATCTGTCATTGGCCAATGCTTTTAAGATATCGACGGCTCCATCATTGTCTCCGTAGAATATTGGCCTTTTCTCCATCGTAAACTTAGCTAGTAATACCAAAAAGCCGGGAATCTCCGCTCGTGTAAGCTACGCTGAGGTGAAAAGTGTATCTCCTCCTAGTGCTGTCATTCTCTCTATATCTCCCAAAAAATATTAGAAAAACAATAAATCCTCGTATCCCCATAGTTGTTCGGGTGTATCTGCTCAGCATCATGCTGAACAAATCGAACAAATTGGACAAGCAGGTGTAGCCGCTTCTCCTCCCCAACTCTCTAGTTCTCTACCCATTATTCTTAATGTTCGTAACACCAATGACGACCTCCCGTAAGAAAATATTCGTGTGAGGATTGGTACCTGATCTTTCTGATGACAACATAAGAAGTTGCCTTACCGGAAAAGTTCCATCCGTCAATATGAAGGGTGTTAGCATTTTCAAATTGGCTCCATCAGAACATAGAGCTATCTAGTCCTTTAAGACGTTAATTTCGACTAAAAACGTGGAAATGTTGTTAAACAAATAATTTTGGCCAGTTAAGTTTTCAGTAAAGCAATTCATTTTTCAACCCCATAATACTAATTCGATAATTCTTTCACCGTCAAAAAGCTAAATGTTTCGTCAGATCCAGTAACTATCATTTAGTAAAATGTTAGGAGCCAGGCCTTAAAGCCTGATCTACATTCGTTGGAACTTTGTCGCAATTCTTACTAAGTTTTCAGAAAAGACCGATTAGATCGAACTGATGATGGTGTTTTAATTTCCATATCTGCTGCAGTCCCGTTCTATTCATTTGAATTTCCTGACGTTGCATTTATTGCCATTCGGGTGAAAATCGGCAGTAAGCAGTTATATATAATTTGCTCCTATATTCTCCTAAATGCGGATATCTGTACTTATTAGAAACATGCTGCCTTCATTAATGACGTGGCCAAAAAGCCTTGATCTCCTGTTATCGTCATAGGGTTTGGGGACTTCAATTGGCCACTTGGTGTTATAGTGATAATACCGGCTGTATGGTTCCCACTTCAACATTTGATAGAGAGAGCTATTGCGTTTTTCAATGAATTATTTAATAGTTATTTACTTCAATGCAACTGTACCCTTATTTGTAATGACAGGCAGCTAGATATTTTCTTTGATAATTTTCCGGAGATGGCTGTAAATCACTGTTCACCTTTTAGTTTACCTGAGTATCATCGAGCAGTTTGCATTTCCGTTTATTACAGGCACGATGGTCCGTTGAGCCATTCTAACGTGTCAAATTAACTATCCGTATTTGGCAACTAAGTCGGTATTAATTCTTAACCTGGTTATTACAGAAAATGATGTTTTAGATAGTTTGAAGTCTCTAAAATATTGTTGTGCGCTTGGCCCTAATGGCATATCTCATGTATAGTCAAATTATGTTATGACGAGCTATGTGGATTTTTAATCAGTCCTTGAAATCAGATGTTTTCCCGTTGTTTTGGAGAAGAGTTTCCTTACCTCATTTAACAAATATGGCAACAGACATCATGTTGAAAACCATAGAGGCATTGCCAAGTTAATTGCCTTATCTAAATTATTTGATCGAATTATTACTCAGCGTTTAGTTTTTGCTATCGAATCTTAAATTTCTTCAATTCAGCATGGCTTTCTGAAACAGTTACGAATGCGACGGATCCCTTAGGGTTTATTTGCTATTTTTTTAACGGGTTTTTTAGTGGCCGTCGCGCGGTTGTCGTATGAACTGATTTTAGTAAAGCTTTTGACTTAGTTAATAGGCGGTGAGAAACACTTGAATCCGCAGAGGAAATTTAGGATGGTGTCATATCTGAGGACACCTCAGACACTGGCAACATATGCGCTGAGGAGAAAGGCGTGCTCCTCGGCTCTCAGCCTGAAGCACTTGGTGAAGCGCATAAGCGACCCAAGGATGGAGTTTAACCTCCAGAGTTCGTACAGACGTTCCCTCTGGAGTTTAACTTCCAGAGTTCCTACAGACGTTCCTTCTGGAGGTTAAACTAAGGGAGCAAGGAAGGTCGCGGAAGAAGAGGCTTAGTTGACTTGCCCGTCGTCGTCTCCAAATTACGGTTAAAGGTAGCAAGAGATTTGAAGAGGCGCGCAAGCGCGTAACAGCGACTGGCACAAACTCTAAAACGGCGAAGCCGCAGATCGGTTGCAAGCGGAATAGACTGAACGGCAATTTATCCTCTAGCTCCGGCAAATCCGTCAAAACGCGTAGCGGCTAGAATTGTGGGATCACCGAATAGAACAGACACCC